TTATATATATATATATATATATATATATATATATATATATATATATATATATATATATATATATATATATATATATATATATATATATATATATATATATATATATATATATATATATATATATTAGCATTTAATTTCACTATATATTTTGTCTCATTTAAAAATATTATTGGCACGCAGGATAATCTTATTTTGAGATAACCAAGTGTGTATAATCATAGATCATACGGAGTATCTTTTACCCTTCTTTCAAATGATTAAGCATTGCAAATCAATTTCAAACATAAAGTTTACGAAATAAAGCTTCCAAACTTTAAAATAAAGGTTACAGTTTGGTTTCACAAAGTTACGTTTAAAAATGATACGGAGTATTAAAAAATAAAAAGTATAGTGGATTTGAATTTGCATAGAGGGAAAATATACTAAGGGCTTGTTTTTTCCTTTTATCTCATTCGTTTTAATTATGATTTTATTAAATTCTGATTGTAGTTATATTTAAAGTTATTTTTAATCTAATTTCAATAAAAATAAGTAAAAAGAATAAGTTGAAGAGAAAAAAAACTTATAAATGTTATAAGTATCCCTCCCTCCCTCCTAAAAATATTATTATTCCCGTTTGTAGGAAAGAATAATGGAGAAAGAACCCCGAGCAGCGTTAACGAAGAACGAGAAAAATAACTTGATAGAGTGTAACGAATCGCGTTGAACGCTTTCAGATCAAAGTTATTTCGGAGCATACGAAATACTTTAATCGGATAAGACGTTAATCAAGAATGTGCCTTTTTGAATCGCATCTTTAACAATACCCGAGCATCTCTATTTACAAAAATGAAAATCGATGATCAGACATGATCTTTCGTGTAAAAATTTGCAAACTTTCGCGCGGTTGGGATAAACACAGACTTTCGATGTTTTGGATGCAAATGTTCGTAGAGTTTGGTCAAAATTGGTCTTTATCTGAAATCCATGATTTTCTATTATTTTGGACTCCATTCACGAATATCTGAAGGATTTTCATTAGGAAAATATGTCCAAAATAAAAACTTTCGCGACCCTGGCCAGGGGCTCTGCCCCTTGGACCCTACTACCGGGAGTAGTGGGCTGCAGCCCCCGAACCCCCGCCATGAATTCTTAATATTGTTGAACGAGCCTCCATGCCTCCTAACTCGTTAGACAATGTTTATTCAAATTCTTGTTTGATCTAAAAAAATTCAATCACAGAAAAAATAACCGATAACACTAAAATCACCAACACCGTTTAGGTTTACGAGGTTTGACTAAAGTTATTTTAAATTTTCATTATTATTGGTATAAAATTCTAAAAAAGATTTATATATTTAAAAACTACATCAAAAGTGCTACAAAAGAAGTGGTGATATAGCTATATTATTTTATCACATGATTAATGAAAATAGGTAAATAAAATGATTAAATTAAAGTATAATCATGTAAATGGTAACTGAGAAGAAATCTTTACAATGGTGAGATCGAGCTAGTTTTTTTTTTGTTAATAGAAAAATAGATACACTCTTATAAAAAAAACATTATGGTTAGCAGCACCTACCATTGTAAAACAAACAAATGGGAAATCACAACTCAATAATTTCAAAAAAAAAGTATAAAGAAGAGATACTACAATATAATTGAATTATATCAATATACTCAAAAAAACAAAAAAAAAAAAAAAGATAGACTAGATTTTGAAACATCATTAATTAATGGAAAGTAATTAGGTATAATAAACAATCAGCTGTTCACACAGAGCATGTAATATAATTGTTTGGCATTGATAGATAGATAGATAGAATCCGATAATTAGTTCATCATCATGGATCATCACTACCTGTTGTGTAAGGGATCGGGAGAAGAGGGCGCTCTTCTTTTGCATTCTTCAAAGTAGTGATCATATGCATCTTCATCAAAGTAGTGTCCACCACCCACCACTAATACATTTCGTCCTAGTCTCTGTCTTTGATGAGCTGCTGATGACGCCCAGAATAAGAAGAAGAAGAAGACAATTAACGCCGCCGCCCCTGCAAAAAGCCGCCGCCGCCACCAAATGACATTATTACCATTGCGCCCCACCATCGATATTGTAATTATTATTATTGCTCCTAGCTATAGCTCCATCTATCGATCTGTGTGAAGATCATATATGAGGGAGCTACAAGTATGACGTACGGAGTACGGAGTACTTATTTCTTTAAAGATTTTGTTGTACGTGGTGCATGCGGTCAAGGGTGTATTTCATTTTTATTGGGGAGATTCACTCAATCGTCCACTTGTAGATACTCTCTTTGACTTGTAATCATAAATAACAATTATACTCCCCTCCAATTCAAAAGGTTGTTCAATGCACACTTTGAAATATTTGACTCCTCCACTATACAACTTTTTGTAAAGCCAACTTGTACATATATATACATGCATGCTTACATGCATCCCAAAAAACACTTCTCATTTCTATTAAAAAGTCACTTTTACCCCTTACTTTTTTATAGCATACATATCACATCATACCTTTTTACTAATAATCTATCCATCAAATCATACTTTTACTCATCACATCAAAGGACATTTTTGAAAATTCAATATCAAAATACACTCCTATTAAAACTCTCTTCAAAATCAAAACTCACATGTTTTCCGAGACAGAGAGAATACATATACACACACACATACATACATACATACATAGACACATACTCCGTTTGATTTATGAGGGTGGTTTCATGACATTGCTATTATTTTTCTATCAAAAAAAGAGTTGGAATTTGAAAAAAAACAATCACTAACATTTGGACCAAAGTACAATTTTAATTTTACTCTCATTTCTTTTTCTTCCCCTCTCTCTTTCCTCTCTCCCTTGCATGTTCTTCTTTCACACCCTTTTTTGTAAGGCAATGAGTGCCAGGGGTTAAGATTCAAGTTTGGTTCCAAGTAACTGCAATGGAAGGCAATTATATTAAGCATAGGGCCTCTGCAAGTACCAGGTGCAGACTCCACTCTTTGTCATCAATCTACAATTAAAGTTCAATTACCTCCTCTCAATGACCGTTCGGCCGGGTCTGAGGGTGCCTCGGGATGGGGCTCATCCTTTTTTTTTTGGGAGAAAGACCAAAGTAGGACCAAAACATTGAAAATATACCAAAATAGGATTTCCATGTTTTTATTCCCGAAATAGGACTACATTACCAAACATGGTCATATACATTACCAAAAAAGTATAGTAATTTACACATGTACACTGCCACATTACCACAATGCAAAGTCACATTACCACAGTGCAAAGTCCTATTCCGGGAAAAAAACATGGAAGTCCTATTTTGGTACTTTTCTCTATATTTTAGTCCTATTTAGGATGATTTCTATTTTTTTTCAAAACTTGCCTCACCTCACACCCTTTTTTGCAAGGCGAGTGCCAAAGGGTTAAGATCCGAGTTCGGTTCCTGATAACTGTACTGGGAGGCAATTATACTAAGCATATGACATCTACAAGTACCAGGCGGAGACTCCACTCTTGGTCATCAATCTGCAATTAAAGTCCAATTTACCTCCTCTCAGTGACTGTCCGGCCGGGTCCGAGAGGCCCTTGGGATTGGACTCATCTTTTTTTTTAAACTCCCCTCACCTCACCCCCACCCTCTTCCATTCCACTTTATTCGACACCCCTCATGAGCTTCCTCTTTTTTTGAAAATTTTTTACTCTTTTTTTAAAAATATTTTGTTTAATGTTTTTTTATCTTGTTTTTTGTTTTTTGTTTTTGATCGTTTTTGTTTGTTATATGTTTTTGATGGTTTTTTATCTTTTTATTGATATTTCAATATGATTTCTCTAAACCAAGAGATATTATTATTATTATTATTATTATTATTATTATTATTATTATTATTATTATTATTATTATTATTATTGTTATTATTATTATTATTACTATTACTATTATTATTATTATTATAACTCCGTATTATTTTGGTTGATTTTGGTTGACTTCAAAAAAAAAAGCAAAAATAGACAAACAGAAGGTGGATTTAGTGCCATCAAGAAATTTTGAGGCATGGAGATTTATTTATAGACTACACGTGACATCGTAAGACAATGATACAAGTTAGAATGCACGAAGTAGACACTCGTTCAATAATATTATGATTTCAAGCACGTCGAAATATCTATGGTTCATTCGAGCATAGTCCATAAACCATGGGGGATTCCAAGAGAACACTGCCCTTTGGCGGGGGTCCGGGGTTGGGTGACAAAAGGACATGGGTGTCTGCACATTAACATGGAAGAGCTGAACTAGTAAAGACTTAAAATTTAAGCATTGGCTAATTTGTTTTATTATATTTGTCCAGCACCATATATGTGTATCTGTGTACCAATGTCTCACTACCCATCTTATTCAATAATAAAGAACTGATGCATATACATTGATATAATTGATTCAGTTCAACTCTCTTTGCCGGTCGGTGAGAAGTGCCTTTACACATAGTTGCCTTTAAAGTCCATTGCTTGTAAATTGAGTTCTTTCTGTTGCGTGACACCTATGAGCTCTTTAATCTCCTCTGGTTGACGAGGACAAGCCTACTAAGCCCGAGAACAAGGACCCATGTTTTTGCAGAGATCTTTTCCTTTATCATTAAGAGCAACGCGGAACTCAGCACGGTCTTCAAGATTTGAGCTTGTAAGCCCTTGAAGAAACCAAGAATCCCTTCATTTCTAAGGATAGATCCGGCAACGCCAAGCAGTGTCTTGCGTGGTTTGCTTTTGGACTTCTTGTCACCACCCTCGCCATTCATGTCTGCCACTTGAATCATGACTTTGCACCTGATTTCAGTTTGAAGAATGTCGGGAAGCTGGGAAAATTGTGCATAAAAAGAGTAAGACAAAGGTTCTTAAGCTTGCGGGCAAACCTGATGGCTGGAAAAGTGATAACAGTGGCTATGGTCTTTGAAAGTGCGCCTAAAAGAAATGCAGAAAATGCAGAAAGGACTACTGGGGATGAACCCTTCTTCCCCATTGAAGTGCGTTGTTGGTCTTTCAGCAGGTGTTGTTTGAGTTGATCAAAAACTGTGTACTGCATGGCTTAACATGACTCCAAGATTAGGATCATTGTTCCACCAATTAAAACATATCAAGGACTAACCGTGCAATATAAGTCAATGACAAGTTTCACAAGGGTTCTCAGAAATCCACCCATCTTCTCATAAATGAAAATATACTCACCTGAATGGCAGGGTTGGATGTCAATAAAAGAGATATTCCAAGACCATCAAATGCTTCACTCAAGCTGCCCTCTGTGAGTGTTTCCCAAAGGCTTTTAGATTTCCCAAAGGCACTAGTTTGCATCCTCATTGATGCAGTATCAAGTGGCTATACAACACATTAAAAAACAGCAGTTATGATCCTTTAAGATGAATAAGGGTGAGAGTGAGCACAATAGAGGGACATTTTTTTGTATGATCGTCAGAGATGCTATAAACTTGATGGGAATCGAAAGGTCTCATGAAGCAAAAGGGGAAAAAATCATTATCATAATCTTAATCCAACCTACATAGGGTTGTGGGAATTTAATTGCTTAAAATAAGCAATAAGCAAGAAGACAATTGCTTTGGTTTGTGGGATTTAGGCCCTTTTTTCCTTAATTTTATTTGGAGTAGGGTGTCCAGAGCCAGTAGTCTGGTAATTATAGCCTGGAATCTGATAATTAGAATTTGGAGTCTCGTAGCTGGATTCTAGATGCAGGTAACTGGTACCTTGATTAAATATATTATGAAACTAAAGAAAATTTTATTGGGAAACTGGCAACTAAAACCTTATAACTGAAAACTGGTTACTGGAACCTGGTATTGGAGTAGGCAGTTGGAATAAAAAGTTGAAAAGAGCAAGGCCTTAATCCACTTCAAATAAGCAATAAGCAAAAACTTAAGTTGGTTTATCAAACATTGTAATTGTAAAACAGTTTAGCAAAAATTTAAGTTTCCTAAAACACTTCCATAGTACATTAGAGAGGTGGCAAGAAATTTAATGTTGCTTGATTTTTAATTATTTAAAAATATGAAGACATGCTAAAATACATAGAAATGGAGTTTTAACCAGATGGCGTTCCTGTCAAAATCAAGATCAAGTCTCTATCAAGATATCAATGCTCGCTTTTATAAAAATATCAAGGATGCCAAATATATATATATATATATATATACACACACACACACACACACACATAGAGAGAGAGAGACACACACACACATACATACACACACACACACAAATAGAAGGATGAAAACATACATATACACACACAGAGATAGAAGGATGAAAGTATCCAGGATGCCAAATATTATATGGATGGAAGGTGTAGAACTGGAGAGGCTCAACAAAAATATTGTACATGACACAAACAAGTGGAAAATGAGGGTTTTGGTGGATGATCTTGGGAAGTTTTTGATTGTTTCATGTAGCCAGCCCCCTTTATTTACGGTTAAGGTTTGGATAAATATCAAAAATGTGATAAATAGCGTAAACTCATAAATAGCTGTGGAACCTCTAGGAAAGGAAATCCCACAAAAATATCAATTACTACAGGGGGTATGTTAGTTCATGGTCAAAACCTTCTAAAGAAGGGATATTAAGATGATATTACTTCCCTAAACAAAAATATGATATTACAAAAGCATCATTACATGATTTTTGCAAATGCATCATATTGCACTTGCATTTTGATAGAATTTAGAATGGGATAAGGATACCGGATTGAGCACACTTGGGTTGAACCACATTAAATGATTGAATTCAATCAATTACTTAGCTCAACTTAAAAGCTTATAAACTGAATATTTTTCTCTTCAAGATCTGATGTAGGATACTTTAACACATTGCATGACATGATGGTGTGGGGAGATCGTTGCTATAGGATTTAACAGAAAAAAAAAAATTAAAGAAAAAGCATCCTTACTTGTGTCACAATGGCAGTACAAGCCCCAGCAGCAGCAGCAATGATCAAATTGGCTTTTGTTCCTATGGATCTAACACCACTTCTATCCAAATAGAGTTGCTTGAAGTAACTATACCCATAAAAATAAACAAACTGAGAGATGAAAGAATGGAGATTCTTCGTTCCAAGACCTTGGTACAACGAAAGAACACGGCCCGTTGATAGGGCCTCTAAAAGGACATCTGAGATTTTCCTGCAAAGAGCATAGCAAACCTTATTTAGTTTGGTGTATGTCTTATAATGATTAAATGAAATACTTAGTCAGAAGGTGAAGACTGGTTTTGTAGGAACCATATTGAAAGTTATTGGGCAGTGCAAATCATCATAATATCATCAGAATTATACTGATTACAATTTACAAGTACAACAACACATCAATGATTCAACAATGAAGCCTTAAACCCATGTAAATTATGTTCTTTAGGACTTACTTTCTCTAGACTCTAGACGTATGCCTCCTAACATAAGTCTTGAGACTCAATACTACAAACTCTAGACTTAAACTCCGAACTCTAGTAAACAATAAGCCCTAGAGATCAGGCCCATAACGGTGTCAACTATATATACCAATAGATAACCAAACAAAGTCATCCTTAATTTATAAATAAAAAGTAGGCACTGAAAAGTTAAAAAGTTCTTGCATAATGGCAATTTCTACGGGCAGCAGAGATGTCCATATCAACTTCATGCAGAAAAAATTAGAGATGTTCCGGATTACAAAAAGCAGGTCCACACTACTAATCAATTCAAGCAAGTTTCACATGAGGAACGTATCTAACTGCGCATGGCTAGCTACATGCATTTGTGGATTCAGGCTGAAGCTAAAGTGTCCAGGTTACCACATGCCCATTATTTAATTATGCAGGGAATAATGAAATGATATAGCCATATAGGGTAAGATGCAACCAAAAGAATTTGAAATCTCTAAAACGAACTAACACTGAAAGCCATCAAGGAGTATGTGTTACCAAGCATATGAGGGAAAACATCACAAGTAATGCTGCCTTTAGAAAATTGATTATGTTAAAATGTAAAGACACTTGAAAAACGCACCAGAGCTCAAAAAATAGAAATATATTTCAAAACTATCTGCTGGTTTAAGTAAATTTAACATACTCTAGTGGTATGATACACTTTTTACATAATCAAATATGTTTAGCTTCCATGAAAAGAGCTTAATTTGGTCAAATTTAACCTATTTTGGGAAGAAAATTAGTTTAGAACTAATAGCTCTCGTCGTGGGATTCAAATCTAAGTTGCCACCATCCCTGGAGAAACTCCATATCTCCCTATTTCCTATAATTCGAAAGAAAATGAAAAAATGAAATTCTAAAGCGCAAGGATCAGAGAAAGAAATCAGAAGAGAGAAGAGAGAAAAGATGACCTGTATTTTCGCTGACCATGAGACTGGAGCTCGGCTTGGTACTTGGTTTTGCAGGTATCTAATGGATACAAGATGGTGGTGCTAACGATAGCTCCAATGGCTCCGGAGGTCGCCTCCGCTATGGACTCCAGATCACCGCCCATCTCTCTCTCTCTCGCTCTCCCTGCTCACTCCGACGCCAGAAATGAGAACAACAGGAAGGAGTCAATCGACGGGTATAAAGGGAAGACCAGACATCGGCAATTCCGGCAACAAAGCGGAAATTCCAACGCAGGAAAGTTCGTATATGAGAGTAGAGAGACGGATGGGCGGAGAAGTCAAAACCAATTTTGAGCACTCGGTACTAAAATCTACTCCTTAAAAATTACTCACTCCGTCCTAAAACTTTCTTTCTCAGAGCACTATTCCAACTTCACGGGAATTTATATTTATTTATGTTTTTTCATTGCCTATACGATAAAATAAAATATTCTTATCACCACTTGTTTTGTTGAACTTTTGATGTAGTTTTTAAATATGTATGTTTTATTTTTTATTTCTATATCAATATTTAAATAAAATAGATTGAAAAAACTTGGGGTTTTTCTTCGTTTTGCTCAACGGGAAGAAAGATATAGGACGGAGGGAGTAAATAACTATAGTCCGTACAATGCATCTGGCTATATAGTAGAAACTAAAAACTTCTAAAACTCATCAATATTGGGTGCATTTATTGTGGAGCAATGCTTGGAGGTACACCAAAGGTGTACCCCATTTGTCCCTCATCTCTTCTACGCCACTTATTTTTACTTCATTTTTATTTATTTAATTTTTTTTAATTTCTTGTCCATTTTTGTGGTAATGAAGGTGGTGGGGTACACCTATAGTGTACTCCTAGTATTTTTCTTTACTGTGTTTTGGCATGATTTTCAATTTCAATTTTGAAGTGTAGCTCTTGACGAATAGCAAATAGTGAAGTGTAAGCATTGCACAATTATGTTGATCATGATTTATGATTGAAAATCCGAAAATGTATGTCATTAGATAAATATCAACAAAAATTTTATTACATTTGCATTAAAAACTTGTTTGGTGAGAAAACAAATATGAATTTTAATATCTTGATCAGGGGCGGGCCCAGGTAGAGTCACATGGAGTCACGCGACTCCACGAAAATTTTGTAATTTTCTATATATACTAGACTCGTGCCCATGCGATGCACAGGCTATAAAATTACTTAAATTTAGTCTTGGTTTGGAATAACATAAAATGATACAAAAATCAAAAAATTACAAATTTTATTAAAATTGCCCAAAATAAGGTATTGTACAGCAAAGATTGTATATGCACGGCCAATGATTTATTTAAAAATTAATAATTATGAAAATTTATTAAAATAAATATTTTATATAATTCAGACACCTTATAGATTCTAATTGGGAATTTTTTTGCTATAATATAATTAAATAAAATAATAACTTGAATGTAATGAAAAAAATAAACAAAGCTTAAATGTTTTGTAACACTTGTTTGTATTCAACATTTGCAAGTTGGTTATCGTCACTCCAAATTAAAAATAGTCCCACATGTTTAATAGATTTGTCTTTGCTTTTATTAATACATATGAGACGGGAAATTCTTTGCACGCACGTCTTATCTTTGATTCTTGTAGCTTTGTCTCCTATCTATGAATAATTATTATACGCTTATAACACCAAAAATATCATCACTCTAAAACATTAAAACTATCTTATATTGCAAAAAATGATAATTTTATTCCAACGTTTAATAAGTAAACAATCCCAAACATGAAACAATGCATGCCTTCAACAACCGAAGATTATAAACAAAATGCAACATTCAATTGGTTCAAATACAACTAAAAAGTTTGGACACACTCTAAAAAGCTCCACCATAAAATATTGGCAAAAAAAAAGCTCCAAGGCATTTCGTAATATAAGGAACAATAGGTCAATGGCTCTCCACTTTGATGGCACTCTAACGAAATCGTCTTCTGACCTTTTTTAATGGATCTTTCAACCTTGGGTTTCTTCAAGCATCGTTGCCTTTCTCCAATCTTCAAATGATCATTTAATACAATCTGCGATATTAGAAAGGGCAATATAGTAAATAATTATCACATTCAATTAAAAAAATTTCATTTTAAATTTAAATTAAAAAAACCACTTTAGAGGGGCGGGCCCAAGTAGAGTCACATGGAGTCACGCGACCCCATGAAAATTTTGTAATTTTCTATATATATTTAGGTAGATATATACTATTACCATATATTTAAGGAAACACGTTTGAAACTAAGTTGGAAGCATAGAAGGAGGGGTAAAAGAGTAATATAAGAGTAAAACATTGATAAAATTTCAAAAATAGGAGTTGCTGATTCAGTTGGCAATCTACTAGCAACATAATGCAGGCCAAATTTTTCATTAGCTAGAGTTAATTGCAATCCAGTACAAACATATCAACATATAATGTAACAAATGATATAATTGATGGGATTAACCCGATCAGATGGCGGACTAAGAACGGAATATGAATAAAGAAAATATAATCTCGCAATAATATTCTTTAATTGAGTGTGTAATCGGTTTTGGGTGTCTCTCTCTACAATGGCGGGTTGTGATTCCCTTCCCATTTCTCCCACAATTTGGGGTGTGGGCCACGTGTCCTATTTCTCTCTTGGACTGGATCATCTCAATTCAGCCCATTATTGGGCCGTCCGTCTCATCACTCACATGCGCCTTGGTGGGCTCGATCTGTTACTCGCACCTGGACTTTTCCACTTTGCACGGTTGTGGGCCTTTATCGGGCCTAGAGTCGGGTCCATCAGACCCGATATCCATCATACATAATGTTAAAAAGAGAAATGCCAATAAACTATATACTTTACCATACTTTACCAAAGACATAATCATTCAATTCAAACTTGATGTTCTAAACCAACCGTGCCAATTAATATTTTATTTCAATATCTCCAATCACACAAACAATAAGATTTTCTATCTATTTGCATGTAAAAAAAACAAGAAGAGCATGATAATCTCAAAAGTATATATTTTTGGATTTTCTGATTTACTAACATTATAGCCAAAATATGCACAAAGAGTACACAAAAGAAATCGAAACAAAGATATGCAATGAAAACATGGGAAAAAAGTTTAGCAAAATCGACATGGAAATCCAACAAAATTACATTTTACATTAAGAGTACACTCAAGTACTCAACACATAAAAAAATTCCAACAAAAACTTTACAGCCCCAACAAATCAAATCATAAATCAAATAAAAAATCATTCTATCTAAATACAAGCATGAAGAAATCTCAAAAATAAACCAAAAGAGATGAAAATGGATCGAAAAAGCAAAGAAAACTATATCAAAACACCAGTTCCATATTTTTAGTCTTGAAATGGGAGATAAAATATACGGAGTATTGCATTACCAATCATGACCATGTAAATTACAAAAACAATAGTAAAGTACTCATGTGCAGTGCCACGTTATCACAGTGCAAACTTTTATTTAAGAAATAGAAACGTGAAACTACTTTTTTTATTCTTTCTTTATGTTTTACTTCTATTTAGGATGATTTCTTATTTTTCATTTGTAAGTGTTATAAATTTTATGATTATTTTAAGTCTTAAAGTCGATGGTTTATTTTATATGTGTGTGTGTGTGTGTATATATATATATATATATATATATCTGTGTGTGTGTATATATATATATATGTATATATATATATATGTATGTATGTATGTATGTATGTATGTATATATATATATATATGAATCCGCCACTCTCGAGAGAGCTCCGTCACTGACGTCCGATCAAGCATAAGCGAAAATGCCGTCGCACAAGACGTTCATGATCAAGAAGAAGCTGGCGAAGAAGCAGAGGCAGAACAGGCCGGTTCCGTACTGGATCCGGATGCGCACCGACAACACCATCCGCTACAACGCCAAGCGCCGCCATTGGCGCCGCACCAAGCTCGGGTTCTGAGGATGCTTCCCTGCCCGCGCAATCCGCGCTTGATCTGCGGAAACCTTGTTTTTTTTCATGCCTCTCATTCTGAAAATCTGGAACTCTGTTTTTAGTTTTGAATCGTTTTTACTGCTTTCTGTTTTATCGGTGATTACTGCTCCTTAAAAAAATGTGTGTGTGTGTGTGTGTGTATATATATATATATACATAAATACATAAATACATATAGGATTATTTTTATACTATCCACAACTTATTTTTGTTTATTACTTCTCAAAAAATAATTATATAATTTTAATCACATATGAATATTTATTAATTAAATAATTTATTTAAAAAAATATCTTATTACATTATTTATTTTATTGCTACATATATTTTTCAAAAAAGTAAATAGAATAAAATTGGTTTAATTGAAGGTGGCAAGTGACATTATGACATATATACATTCTCTAATGATGTAATTAATCCATTTTTAATTATAATATTTTATTAATTAAAATAATTTTATTAGTACTTAATTCAATGACCATTAATGTTATATAATTGTTTTTGTTTTTAAATCAACATATTATTATATATTCAACTAGTTTCAAACATATTTTGTCATTATATTTACACAATCTCAAACATTTAGAATATATACGAGTCTGTGTGATGATTGATAATTGATAACAATAGTGTATAAAAAGAGAACGATGATTGATAATTGATAATGTTAAAGAGTTGAAGGATTGGAGACTCTAGAATGTAAATTTTGGCATCCAAATGACAGCCTTGTTTTTAGCCGTCGGATGAAATAATGGTAACATTGACAATTTTCTTCTCTCTCCCCAACATCGGTGGCGGAAGATCTTTCCAAAATAGCGGTGGTGGAAGTTTTACGTAGCAATGGTGACGGTGGGCTAGGGTCACCCTTGCGGCGTTGATGGCACACCCTGTGATGGTGGTGACAGACTCCAGTGGCAGCAACATAAGTCATCGGCAGCGAACTTTAGGGAGGACAAGGCGACCTTTTAAGAGAGCCGTGGCCAGCGCTGAGTTTGACCTGGCCGAAAATGGGGAGGGTATATTGTTGACGGAGAAGAAGTAACCGACGAGTGGGTCATAGATGTCGGCGCGTGAGGAGTCGTCGATGTTTTGTTGTACCCTAGCGGTGTAGATGGTCTCCTCCATGCTGTTACCTAGCGGAGGAGGAGGATCGGTCGTTGTCATCTTCTGGGGAAGAGAATGGCATGGCGAGAATGGAGAGAAGATCCTCTCCTTCGAGGTGTACGATGTGGCCCCTCCTGTCTTTTGCTCCTTAAAGATTCTCCGCTGTGTCCCGTTCGGAACGAGTCTCTGACGTACCGGGACCAAAACCGCCCAGAATGCTGCCGCCGCCATAGCCCAGCCACTCGAGGAGTTTCTGTTCTGATCGTTGGGTGCCTTCCTCATCTTATTCCTCTTCCTTCCCCTGTTTCTAGCGGCGGAGTTTCATTTCCTCCTCTTGCCCATTTCTTTTTTCGTTGAGCAATATGAAAGAAGGGAGCAAAATGACAATTTTCTTGGGTCCTACGGTCAACGCCAAAATGACGGTGTAAATTATCGACTGATATATCGTTTTTAGCCGGGCAAAAACAATAAACTAGTCTAAAAAATACACCAAAATATAAAAACAAGGATTTTGACGTGGAAATCTAATCGGGAGAAAACCACGGGCATTTTTTGGCAGTACCTTGCCAACGGGGATTTTTATTAATATCGGGGGTTGTACACGGTACATAATTTAGACGTAAAAGTCATTAATGGAGCACTTAAGCTCTTGAAGAAAAAGAAAAATATACTATATATATTCTAAAGAGAGAGTATTTGAGAAAGATAATGGTGAGAGGAGAGAGGCCTCCCCAATTTTGAGGGCAAACCATCTCTTTTATAGGAGAGAGGAGGAGCATATTCGGAGGAATATTCTCTTGTTCTTTCATTTTAGGGAGAAGGACCAAACTAGGAGTAAAAGTTTTGTCATATTACCAAAATAGGAGCTCAAACTTAAACTTCCCTAAATAGGAGTAATTAATTAATTTCTGTCCTCAATTAGGAGTATCTCTCTGTTGGAACACACTTTGGACGTTTAACTAAAGTCGTGTTCATTTCTGACAGGTTTTGATAATTGCCAAACCGCCATGGATATGAAGAGTTTCGTTGAATAACTCAAGGCGTGAAGAATGGCATGGAACAAGACCTAAAAGACTCAAGGACAAGATCAAGAATTGAAGACTTAGTCGAGTCGGTCTTTTGTGATCAAAACCGACAATCAATTCAAATCTCGGTTCTCAAAAAGTCAAAATAATTTTACAAAATCATAAAATGTTTTTGTGCATCAAAATAAACATTTTTAATAACCTTTTATTGTGTTTAAATCTCTGGTCCTTGCTCAGAACCAAAATCACCTAAGTCGGCGTTCGGTGTTCGGCATCGGCGTACGGCATTCGGGGTTCAACGTTCGGTTTTTGGCGCCCGAACCAACTCGGTGGTTTTCAATGTTTTAAACCTTGTTTTTACCTCTGAGCATATTTAAAAGGTTCCCAAATAATTACTTTATAAAAACCACTTTTGTATCTTGGTCAATCGGTCTAAGACGTGAAAAACGGTCAAAACCGTACACACGTGATAAACGACCTTGAGGACTTGGTTTTTACCAAACAAGTCTTGGTTTCACTATTTTATACCATATACAATGTTTTTCAAACTTGGTTTTTACTTTTAGGAACACTTCGTTTTTGGACCTCAGTTTTTCAAAACGGGTTTTCGCTGGCTAAGTTTTAGCTAGGTGATAATCGATTATCACCTTAGTGACAATCGACTATCAGCCTCTGCAGCTTTGAACTTCAAAGTTCTGAAGCACGCAATAATCGATTGTCACTTATGTAACAATCGATTATCAGCCTTTGCAGCAAAAATCTAGAATCTTCTGAGAGGATCAATAATCGATTATCACAAGTTGACAATCGATTATCTGGGTTACCGTTGTCCTCCAACGGATAGAATTTTAAATTTTTGGACAAAGAATCTTTTGATAATCGATTATCAGGCTTTGACAATCGACTATCATCCTGTGTCTCTGAAAAATTTGTCTTCATCCTGTTGGAAATTCTAGCAACGGGTTTATCCCATTTTGGGCTATAAAATGGCACCCAAATCCTCTCATTTTACACACAATTCTTCAACATTTCAATACTCTTTCATTGCATAAGCATTCCTATTTTTCTTAGCTGTTTGAGAGCCAATTCTTGAAGAAATTGTTGTGTTCTTGAGCGTTTACTAGTTCACTCATATCTACTCGTTGTGAGAGTTTTATTCCTGAGTGTTAAAGTGTTTTCATACACTTTAAGGGAGGTTGTTCCCTTGTTGTAAACTCGAAGGAAGTTCTTTGTTCCTTCGTGAGAAGTCTTGGAGTGCGGTATCTCCGAGCAAAGGTGTTGAGGCTCGTGTGACTCGGGTTCTCAAGTTGTATCGGTTTGTTAAGCACCCTTAAGCTTAACAGAGTTAGTGTAGCTCGAGAGAGTCTCTCGGGAGGCTGGATTAGCCACACGTTGTGGTGAATCAGGATAAAATTCGGTATGCTCCTTCCTTACGCTCTTTACTTTAACGCTCTCGTTTTTAATTTCCTGCGATTTTGTTTCAAATGCTATTCACCCCCCCTCTAGCGTTGGGCCTTTATTCTAACAATTGGTAAAGAGCCTTACTCTCTGAAAGACTTAACCGTTTGAGAGAAACGATCAATGGCTTCTACTCAAAGTTCATACGCAGGTTTAGGTGAAGGGCAATCCACCACGAGGCCTTCGTTGTTTGACGGAACGAACTACACCTATTGGAAGGAGCGGATGAAGATTTACATCCAATCCACCAACTTTCTCCTATGGAGAATTATCAAGAATGGTGAAGACGTGCCCATGAAGAAGGTCGGGGAAACCAACTTTCCTAAGACCGAAAATGAGTATGATGCTCAAGACATCAAGAAAGTGGAGAACAATGCCAAGGCCATCAACATCATCTATTGTGCCGTTAACCCGGATGACTACCGGAAGATCTCTTGTTGTTCCACCACCAAGGAAATGTGGGACAAATTAGAAATCACCTACGAAGGTACGGATCAAGTCTGAGAAGCTAAAATTGATTTTCTAACCCAACAACAACAACAACAACATCCCAGTTGATTTTCTAACCCATGAATATGAATTGTTCCGTATGAAGGAGAATGAGAAAATCGATGAGATGTTTGAACGATTCTCCAAAATCCTCAATGATCTCCATGCTCTCAAGAAGACGTACACGGACAAGGAACTTGTGAGAAAAATCCTGCGAAGCCTCACACCGGAGTGGCGCTCCAAAGCCAATGTCATCCAAGAATCCATCAGCATTACCAACGTCACCATTGACGGGCTCAGAGGTAACCTCAAAACCTATGAGTCTACCATTCTATTCCCCTCTTTAGGTGAACAAAAGAAGAAGGGGATTGCACTCAAGGCTTCCTCAAGTCAAGAACCTACCATGGAGGAATCAAGCGATGAAGACAATGAGTTCAGGCTCGTTATCAAAAAGTTCCACAAGTTCATGCGTAAGGAATATTAACGAAAGGGCAAGAAGCATGGAGGATTACCCAAGTGCTATGGGTGTGGAGAAGTTGGGCACATCAAACCAAAATGCCCAAATGCCAAGAATGAGAAGGAGAAGAAACCATTCAAGAAGCACCGAGCGTACATCTCTTGGGGAGGTGATTTCGGCGACGAGTCATCGGAAGGCGAAGAAAATGAAAGCGCCAATCTTTGCCTCATGGCACACGAGGAACCACCGGAAGAGGTATGTACCACTCACTTCTAAAGATTCCTATACCTATGATGATGTACATGAAGCCTTTAATGAACTTTATGATGAATATGTCAACGCTTCTAAAATTAACAAGGATTTGAAGAAACAACTTACTTCCATGGAGAAGGAAGTTGACAAACTATCAAAAGATAATGAAAAACTTAAAGAAGAAAATAAGTTTTTCGGAAAAAGAAGCGCCGACAAACCGGAAAGTTCAAAATGTATTTCTTGTATATCACTCAAGGAACAAGTTGCAAAACTTGAAGGAACTTTGAAGAAGTTTAGTGTTTCTCACAAAAACCTTAATGATGTTCTTGATAATTTGCAACTTACTAAACATGGCTTAGGTTTTGAAAATGGAATTAATAATAAAGAAAAAGTTGAGCAACCACCTAAACAACCTAAGGCTCAACCTAGGAAAACTAAAATAAACAATAATAGACAACCTACATCAACTAGGAATACTAGACCACCTAGAAAGAACACTAGGATAAACAATGGTCAAGTTAGAGAACCTAGAAACCATTTTCCAAATATGCATAAACAAAACTTTTCTCAAACTAGGATCAATCAATATAGAAAACCTAGTAACTATTATCAACCTAGGAGAATGCATAATCCGAATGTTATTTGTCATTATTGTAATAAGGTAGAACATATAGCCCCGGTTTGTTTCACTAGGCATAGGCATTGCACTCAAAACCAATCACACTACCAACGTGCACCTAACGCCCAAGGACCCAAAAGGAATTGTGTACCTAAATCTTTTTAAATTGATTTGTAGGTGTGCTTGAAGGCATCAAGTGTACTTTGGTACCTTGATAGCGGATGCTCCAAGCACATGACCGGAGATGCATCCAAGTTTTTGCAAATCAAACCAACTAAAGGAGGAAACGTTGTCTTTGGCGATAATAGCAAAGGCAAGATAATCGGCATTGGTTCGGTTGGTAAAAACGAAACCTCCTCTATTGATAATGTTTTGTTGGTTAAGGGTCTTAAACACAATCTCTTGAGCATAAGTCAATTGTGTGACAAAGGAAATCGTGTTACCTTCGATTCTAAATCATGTACGGTAGAACGTCTTAGTGACAATAAGACGATTCTTCGTGGTGATAGAATTGATAATATTTACATGGTTAACTTAGATGAATCTCCCTCCGACTTTGCCAAATGTCTCATGAGTAAGGAGGACGATATGTGGCTATGGCATCGTAGAGTAGCTCATGTCAACATGAACCTTTTGAATAAATTGGTTTCACAAGACTTAGTGGTTGGTCTTCCGAAACTCAAGTTTGAGAAGGACACCATTTGTGATTCATGTCAAAAGGGCAAGCAAGTAAGGGCCTCATTTAAATCGAAAAATGTTGTGTCTACAACAAGGCCCCTACAACTTTTGCACATGGATCTCTTTGGAGCATCAAGAACAAAAAGTTTTGGGGGAAACTATTTCGCCTTTATGATTGTTGATGACTACTCTCGATTCACATGGACATTATTTCTAACTCATAAAAGTGAGGCATTTCATGTTTTCAAAACTTTTCTAAAAAAGGTTCAAAATGAAAAAGGCTTAACCACCGTAGTCATACGAAGCGATCATGGTGGAGAGTTCGAACGAGATCTCTTTACCGAGTTTTGTGACGAACTAGGCATCGAGCATAACTTCTCAGCTCCACGTACACCACAACAAAATGGCATGGTGGAACGTAAAAATCGTTGTCTCGAGGAGATGGCTAGAACTATGCTTGATGAGGCAAAAATTCCTAAGTATTTTTGGGCGGATGCCGTGAGTACCGCGAGCTACGTGTTAAACTGAGCCGTCATTAGACCGATACTCATGAAAACCCCATATGAATTATACAAAGGAAGAAAGCCAAACCTCTCCCATCTTCGAGTCTATGGTTGCAAATGTTTTGTTCACAATAACGGAAAAGATGATTTGGGCAAATTCGATGGAAATTCGGATGAAGGAATTTTTCTTGGTTATTCATTGCGTAGTAAGGCTTATAGAGTCTTCAACAAACGCACCTTAACCGTTGAGGAACTCCTCATGTTGTCTTTGCCGAAAATGATACTCGCTTGGCGAGAAAGGTCTCTTGTGATGATCTTGTAGATTCATTGGAGAACATCTATCTCAACGACAATGACGAAGGAGACAACTCAAAGGAAAGCCAAGACGAAGAAGTAGAGCCACCCGTAATCGAGGAACAACCACAAGAGGAGGATACGCCAATGCCAAGGGCATGGAGGACTTCAAAGAACCATCCTCTTGACAAGGTAATCGGTGACACCAACCGAAAGGTAAGTACTCGTAGCTCTCTTAGGGACACCGTAGATCACATGGCTTTTGTTTCTCAAATTGAACCTACAACTATTTCGGAAGCAATTGATGATGAACATTGGACCTTATGCACCGGTAGCACGATTAGAAGCTATTCGTTTATTACTCGCTTTTGCTTCATCTATGGATTTTAAACTATACCAAATGGATGTTAAGAGTGCCTTCCTCAATGGTTTTATTCAAGAGGAAGTGTATGTTTATCAACCCCCGGGCTTTGAGGATTTTGAGCACCCGGAGTATGTCCATAAACTAAAGAAAGCACTCTACAGTCTTAAACAAGCACCTCGTGCTTGGTATGAACGTTTGAGCAAATTTCTTTTGGACAACGGGTTCAAAAGGGGGAAGGTTGACACTACACTTTTTATCAAGAGTAAAAACGATAACATCCTCTTGGTGCAAGTTTACGTAGATGACATTATTTTCGGTGCTACTAACGAAGCTTTGTGCGAGGAATTTTCAATTTTAATGACAAATGAATTTGAGATGTCCATGATGGGGGAACTCAACTTCTTTTTGGGCTTACAAGTCAAACAAATGAGGGAAGGAACCTTCATTTGTCAATCAAAGTATTGCAAGGAGCTTCTAAAAAGATTTGAAATGGACGGCTCCAAGGCAATGGCTACCCCGATGAGCACCTCCAAAAGCTTGGACAAAGATGAAAAGGGTAAGGAAGTAGACGTAAAGAAGTATCGAGGTATGATCGGATCTCTTCTTTATCTTACCGCTAGTAGACTCGATATCATGTTTAGCGTTTGTTTATGTGCCAGGTATCAATCGTGTCCGAAAGAATCGCACTTGACGGTGGTGAAACGGATAATGAAATATTTTGTTGGCACAATGAACGTTGGACTATGGTACCCCAAAGGGTCTCCTTGTCATCTTTTTGGCTATTCCGACTCGGACTTTGCCGGTTGTAGATTAGACCGTTAGAGTACGAGTGGGACTTGTCACTTGCTTGGTAGTTCTTTAGTCTCATGGTTTAGTAAGAAGCAAGTCAGTGTTGCGTTATCCAAAACCGAAGCGGAATATGTTGTGCTCAAATCCTTTGGATGAAGCAACAACTAGTGGATTATGGCCTTAGTATCAATAACGTCCCTCTTCGATGTGATAATACTAGCGCCATAAGCTTGACGAAGAATCCGGTTCTTCACTCAAGGACGAAACATATTGACATTAGGCATCATTTCATTATGGGTGGAAATTAGAATAGGTTAGGAAATTAATTAGTTATGGGATAATCACTAGAAACAAAGCTAGGCTCGTAGCTAAAGGCTACAATCAAGAAGAAGGCATTGATTTTGAAGAAACTTATGCACCGGTAGCACGATTAGAAGCTATTCGTTTATTACTCGCTTTTGCTTCATCTATGGATTTTAAATTATACCAAATGGATGTTAAGAGTGCCTTCCTCAATGGTTTTATTCAAGAGGAAGTGTATGTTTATCAACCCCCGGGCTTTGAGGATTTTGAGCACCCGGAGTATGTCCATAAACTAAAGAAAGCACTCTACAGTCTTAAACAAGCACCTCGTGCTTGGTATGAACGTTTGAGAAAATTTCTTTTGGACAACGGGTTCAAAAGGGGGAAGGTTGACACTACACTTTTTATCAAGAGTAAAAACGATAACATCCTCTTGGTGCAAGTTTACGTAGATGACATTATTTTAGGTGCTACTAACGAAGCTTTGTGCAAGGAATTTTCAATTTTAATGACAAATGAATTTGAGATGTCCATGATGGGGGAACTCATCTTCTTTTTGGGCTTACAAGTCAAACAAATGAGGGAAGGAACCTTCATTTGTCAATCAAAGTATTGCAAGGAGCTTCTAAAAAGATTTGAAATGGACGGCTCCAAGGCAATGGCTACCCCGATGAGCACCTCCGAACACTTGGACAAAGATGAAAAGGGTAGGGAAGTAGACGTAAAGAAGTATCGAGGTATGATCAGATCTCTTCTTTATCTTACTGCTAGTAGACCCGATATCATGTTTAGCGTTTGTTTATGTGCCAGGTATCAATCGTGTCCGAAAGAATCGCACTTGACGGCGGTGAAATGGATAATGAAATATTTTGTTGGCACAATGAACGTTGGACTATGGTACCCCAAAGGGTCTCCTTGTCATCTTTTTGGCTATTCCGACTCAGACTTTGCCGGTTGTAGATTAGACCGTAAGAGCACGAGTGAGACTTGTCACTTGCTTGGTAGTTCTTTAGTCTCATGGTTTAGTAAGAAGCAAGTCAGTGTTGTGTTATCCACAACCGAAGCGGAATATGTTGTGCTCAAATCCTTTGGATGAAGCAACAACTAGTGGATTATGGCCTTAGTATCAATCACGTCCCTCTTCGATGTGATAATACTAGCGCCATAAGCTTGACGAAGAATCCGGTTCTTCACTCATGGACGAAACATATTGACATTAGGCATCATTTCATTAGAGATCATGTCTCAAAGGTGATGTCGAAATTGAGTTCGTTGAAACACACAACCAATTAGCCGACATTTTCACAAAACCTTTAGAGAAAGAGTCGTTCTTCCGCATTCGTAGTGAACTCGGAATTCTTGACTCCACGATGATCTAATTTGTGCATTAATTATCACCTTTGGTCCTTACTAACTTGAACGTCGGAGACGTTTTTAATTCTTTTTTGCAGGGCTCTTCTTTTAATTTTATTTTCAGGTGTCAAAGTCAGGGGGAACAAAGCAAATCGTTTTTTTCTTCAGACTTGGTGTAAATCGACTTACAGGCTTGTAATAATCGACTATCACAGCCCGCGGAAGTTTGGAGTAAATCATCCGCAAACCTCAACAATCGATTATCATCATTGGGATAATCGATTATCTGAGCCTGCAGAAGGTTGAGCCAACTCGGCTGGAAACTCCAACAATCGATTTACACAAACGAGGAAATTGACTATTTAAGACTGCAGATCATTCAGCGGAGAATGAGAGGCATCAAATAATCGATTTACAGGGAGTGTAAATCGATTTACAACGGCGATTTTTCAAAAAATCTGACCGTTGCAGAAACGTTGGAAGAGCATTTAATCCTTATTTGACCACCCCAACGGATCTCTAAGCCTCTTCCACTATAAAATGGTGATATCTACTCCATTTTTACTCATTCCAATCATCTCTTCTCAAATATTCATCATATTTCTTCAATTCTTGCTATTGTTCTTAAATTTTTTTGGCCAAAAATCCTGCAAATCTTCTCTCCATTTCATTTCATGGCAGGAGGTCAAAGAAAGAGATCCCACACTGGCAAGAACGTGGCTTCCTCATCGGCTCCTCCACTGGCGACGCACAAGTACCTCGACGGGTCGTTCCTTTGGTTCAACGACCGCACAGAGGCAACGCGATTCTCGGAGAAGTTTGAGCACCGGGAGATCCTCCCTCCCCGGTTTTCCACCAGCCGCTTCATTCATGGATTTATTCCACGGCAGGCACAGGTCATCCTTCAAAAAGGACACTTCCTCAACCTCCTCTACATCAAGAAGAATGACTATCAACCTTTTCTTGTTCGAGCCTTCTACTCGAACTTGAAAAAGGATGAGGACGGATCGTTGATTTCAAACGTCAATGGGGTGGAGATCTATTTGAATGAGGAGAACATTCAAATTCTCACCGGGCTTCGTTGGGACGGACAGGATCTAGGCCTCTATGTCGGAGAAGAAGGAGCGCGGTTCAACGAGACCGCACTCTTGGAGGAAGTGGGCATCCAAAACTTCGTCCCCACTCCCCAACAGTGGCGCCCTACGATTACTTCCATGAGTCTCGTGTTTCGATTCATTTTCTATGTTTTGACACAGATTCTCAAGCCTAGGAAGTTCAATCACACCACTCTCTCCCAAGAGGACATGAAGACGATCCATGCGATGATTAACAACGCCAATATCAATTGGTGTAAGTTTGTGATGACTCACATGTTCAATGCCACCTCCGACAACCGACCGCTTCCCTATGCTCTTCTTGTCATGGCGATCCTTGATGAGTTCCACATCAAGACGGACGTCGGGCCGAAATGCAAAGGGACGAAGCATTGGGAGATTGACGAGTCCTCCTTCCACCCGGGAACCGATGAAGCTACGTTCTCGCAGCCTCGTCCTCGCCGCCAAACAAGAGCCACCGCTTCGACCGCCATAGCTTCGACCAACCCTTCTCTCGCCGAGCAAATGGCGGCTTTGACCACCACCCTTTCTCGGATTGACACCAACGTCTCCAAAACGGCCCAAAATGTCAATATTTTGAGCTGTGAGCTTCACGGGTATTTTGACTTTGTCAACTACCCCTACGCTCAAATGGTCCCTTATGTTCCTCCGCCAAACCTCGGTGGTGAACCAAGTGGGACTAACAACGTTGGAGGAGAAGAAGAAGCAGCGAATGACGAAGACAAAGAAGAAGAGGAAGAGGAAGCCGAAGAAGAAGAAGAAGACGACGATGATGGCAGTGGTGATGAAGAAGAAGAGGAAGACATCGACAAAGAACAACTTCTCGATGATCTTTCACAGGATTTCTAGAGCTCTAGCTCTTTTCTCTTCTCTTCTTTATTTACTGTGCTTTTTAAATTTGCTTCCGTTATGTACTCCGCTATTTCCCTTAATTAATAAATAAAAATCTTTATGATTTTTATTGTTAAATCTTTTTGTTAATGTCAAAATGGTGAAGATAAGGGCTATGCATATATTAAGGGGGAATTTCTGTTTTTTTTCAAAAAGATCAAAACCCTATGCATATCCCCGTCTTGTTTGCCATTATCAAAAAGGGAGAAATTGTTGGAACACACTTTGGACGTTTAACTAAAGTCGTGTTCATTTCAAAAAGGTTTTGATAATTGCCAAACCCCCGTGGATATTAAAAGTTTCGTTCAATAACTCAAGGCGTGAAGAATGGCATGGAACAGGACCTAAAAGACTAAAGGACAAGATCAAGAATTGAAGACTTAGTCGAGTCGGTCTTTTGTGATCAAAACCGACAATCAATTCAAGTCTCGGTTCTCAAAAAGTCAAAATAATTTTACAAAATCATAAAATGTTTTTTTGCATCAAAATAAACATTTTTAATAACCTTTTATTGTGTTTAAATCTCTGGTCCTTGCTCAGAACCAAAATCACCTAGGTCGGTGTTCGGTGTTCGGCATCGGCGTACGGCATTCGGGGTTCAGCGTTCAGTTTTTGGCTCCCGAACCAACTCGGTGGTTTTCAATGTTTTAAACCTTATTTTTACCTCTGAGCATATTTAAAAGGTTCCCAAATAATTACTTTATAAAAACCACTTTTGTATCTTGGTCAATCTATCTAACAGGTGAAAAACGGTCAAAACCGTACACACGTGATAAACGGCCTTGAGGACTTGGTTTTTACCAAACAAGTCTTGGTTTCACTATTTTATACCATATACAATGTTTTTCAAACTTGGTTTTTACTTTTGGGAACACTTCGTTTTTGGACCTCGGTTTTTCAAAACGGGTTTTCGCTGGCTAAGTTTTAGTTGGGTGATAATCGATTATCACCTTAGTGACAATCGACTATCAGCCTCTGCAGCTTTGAACTTCAAAGTTCTGAAGCACGCAATAATCGATTGTCACTTATGTAACAATCGATTATCAGCCTTTGCAGCAAAAATCTAGAATCTTCTGAGAGGATCAATAATCGATTATCACAAGTTGACAATCGATTATCTGGGTTACCGTTGTCCTCCAACGGATAGAATTTTAAATTTTTGGACAAAGAATCTTTTGATAATCGATTATCAGGCTTTGACAATCGACTATCATCCTGTGTCTCTGAAAAATTTGTCTTCATCCTGTTGGAAATTCTAGCAACGGGTTTATCCCATTTTGGGCTATAAAATGGCACCCAAATCCTCTCATTTTACACACAATTCTTCAACATTTCAATACTCTTTCATTGCATAAGCATTCCTATTTTTCTTAGCTATTTTAGAGCCAATTCTTGAAGAAATTGTCGTGTTCTTGAGCGTTTACTAGTTCACTCATATCTACTCTTTGCGAGAGTTTTATTCATGAGTGTTAAAGTGTTTTCATACACTTTAAGGGAGGTTGTTCCCTTGTTGTAAACTCGAAGGAAGTTCTTTGTTCCTTCATGAGAAGTCTTGGAATGCGGTATCTCCGAGCAAGGGCGTTGAGGCTCGTGTGACTCGGGTTCTCAAGTTGTATCGGTTTGTTAAGCACCCTTAAGCTTAACGGAGTTAGTGTAGCTCGAGAGAGTCTCTCGGGAGGCTGGATTAGCCACACGTTGTGGTGAACCAGGATAAAATTCGATATGCTCCTTCCTTACGCTCTTTACTTTAACGCTCTCGTTTTTAATTTCCTGTGATTTTGTTTCAAACGCTATTCACCCCCCTCTAGCGTTGGGCCTTTATTCTAACACTCTCTTCTCACGCTCTCTTCTCCCTTCTTTTATTTTTTTCTTTTCTTGCATGCGTTGGATGGGCCTTGGCATTGAGTTATGGGTGGAAATTAGAATAGGTTAGGAAATTAATTATTTATTATTATTATATTATAAAATCTTTATATTTATTTATTGAACTGTAACATCTATTTTGCTCATAACTCTTTACACCAAAATCTAAACTTAACAAACTATATGCTCTTAGTCACCTTTTTACAAGATCAACACAATTACCTATTTTTAAATTAAAAGGTTGACTTTACAAATAGTTTATATTTTCGGGTCAGAAAATAAAATAGGACATTGTTTTTATTTTTTATCAAAATAACGGCTAACTATTAAGCCGGCTAATTTTCTTACCAAAGTTAAAATATTGTCAATTAACGATTCTTTTAACTATATCGTCAAGGGGCGACAATAAAATCACATCCAAAGCTCAGTACCACAGACAAATACGGCTATATCTACCTTGCTCCTGAATATTTATATGTGTATCCTAATTCACAACTCAAATATTCTGATTTGACATTCTAAGGAAGAGAAAATTAAAAACTTGATAAACATCACCTTTAAGTGCTGCCTCTAGCCCATAGAGTGTCAAACAAGACCACACTTACTGCCAAAATTCTTAATCAATAAATCTATGAGACCTGATTAATAACTTATAAATATATGTCAAAGTTCTTAACCAATAAATAGAAACTCAGTAAATTGTTACAGTAAAATGTCTATACAGTGCCAAACAAGACCACATTTTACAATAATAATTTAGTTTCAATATATGTTTTACAAAATAATTTTCTAAGAAGTAAATTCAGATTTAAAATCAAATGTCACAACCTATGTGAAATTGAATATAAAATTGATCTAAAGTTTCAAACTCACGCAATGTTAAAAGAATTAGTACCAATTTTACAACATAATTCTCGAAGAAGTAAATTTTTAGATTTAAAATTGAATTTAACTACTTATGTCAAATTAAATATCAAATTGATCTCAAACTTACCTAAGGGGATTGAGGCATCCGAGCAATGAAAAATAAAAATGGTGGAGAGGGGTGGAAGGAGATTGTGTGTAGGAGAGAAAGGGAGATGATATAGAGTGTGGTGGAATCATTGCCGCATAGAGGAGATGGTACCGACAGAGAGGGGGTTGGGATTAAGTTGACAGTGTCAGCAACTGAGATTAGAACGAAGAAGGAGATCGTAGAAGGATGGGATTAGGAAGGACCTGGGTGACTTTTTTCATCGCATAGGCCTGGGATGTGGTGTGGTTGGTGGAAGAGTAAATCAAAATAAAATTTAATTAATTACTCCTATTTAGAGGAGCTTAAGTTTTGATGGTGTAAATTATCGACCGGTATATCGTTTTTAGCCGGGCAAAAACGATAAACTAGTCTAAAAAAATACACCAAACTATAAACACGAGGAATTTTACGTGGAAACCTAAATCGGGAGAAAACCACGGGCCATTTTTGGCGGTACCTTGCCAACGGGAATTTTTATTGATATCGGGGGTTGTACACGGCCGATCTCGACAACAACGACTGCGAAATTGAGCAGCGGCGAGAACATCTCAGCACAAAGAGTGGGCGGCGTCTTTGAAACGCCTGAAAGTTCTAGAACCTCGATTCTTGAAAGCTGTGGAGTCACCGGCTTAAGCTCTGCAAACTAAAATCGGCGGATCAGCGAAGACGCCGAAGAGGAGTCCTAGAGTTCTAGGTTCTTAAATTTCAGGATCCGTCCCCTAGGAAGATGCCGTCGAATCCGTTGTAGCAGAGGCGTTGGAGTTATATAACCATGGGTGGCGGTGATGTATACCAATAGATGATGCTACGACAGTCTTCAAGCCGTCAATTCAAACAGGAGTGACAGCAGCAACCGAACCCCGCGGCGGTGGTAGTTGAATCCAACGACCCTAGAGGCGGATTTCGGTGATGGCGCGGTGCGTTGCTAGATCGGCAGCTTTCCGCAGCTCCAATGGTGGCAATGGGAATAAAGACGTGAGGCTCTAGCGGCAAGTTTTCTGCTTCGTTTATCTTGTTTTACCGACTTTTGCCAACCAAGATAGAGGAATTCAGCCGCACGAGGCTTGGGCGCTTGATTTTTATAGTGTAAAAAAATTGAGCAGCAATTAGGGACTTCCACGACTTGGCTTCAGTGACAACATTACAGCAGCAGTGAACTTGGGGACTCCAATAATGGCAACATCAATGTTTGGCTTTGTCGGCAATAATGGCTAGCTTCGAAGACGGCGGTGATATTGGCTCCAACCGGCAACGAACATATCTGAAAGTTTTCTTGATGAAATTATGGCAGCAACATGGGAGTCCTTTTTTTGTGACACCCTCTTCCATGTAGTAGCAACAGACTCCAGGGGGCGGTAGCAAGTAACCCATGGCGGTGAGAGTAGACTCGGGCGGCAGCTTCCAAGGATTCCATAGTGGCTACGGCTGGCTTCAAAATGGGCCAGTCCCTGATAGGAATCAAGCCACGGTGACGACTCATGGTGAAGACAGGGATCGACGTTGAAGATGGTGACAACGAGAACTAGCTTCCGCGGTGGTGATGGTGGAGGTGGTTGTTGATATGGGCAAAATGGCGATAAGGACCACTGATTAATATTTGGAATCATAGTTGGTCTCCTTTCCCCTTCTTTTTTGATGCCGTGGGGGGATCAGAGTACATTATCACCATCATCTTCCAAAGGTAGCCCGAACAAGAAGAGCAAAACATGGCTTTTTGATTGGGTCCCACGGTCGGCGCCAAAATGATGGTGTAAATTATCGACCGGCATATCGTTATTAGCCGGGCAAAAACGATAAACTAGTCTAAAAAAATACACCAAACTATAAACACGAGGATTTTTACGTGGAAACCCAAATCGAGAGAAAAACTACAGGCCTTTTTTGGTGGTACCTTGCCAACGGGGAATTTTTATTGATATCGGGGGGTTGTACACGGTACATTATTTAGGCTTAGAAGCCATTAATGGTGGAGCTAGAAGTTCTTGAAGAAGAAGAAAAATATACTCTAAAAACTTTCTAGACAGAGAGAAATGGGCATAGAGAGGGATTTGGCCTCCTCAACATTGAGGGGGAGCCCTCCTTTAATAATAGCTGGAGCATCTATGGAGGAATATTCTATTATTCCTCCATTTTATTAAACAAGCCCGATTTGACTGTTCTTCGTAAATAATTGGGAAATGTGAGCCGAGCCACGTATTATTTTCCATCAAGTTTGAACTCCTATTTGGAGTATATGATTTATGTTTTACTCCTATTTAGGGGATTTTGTTTTCATTAGACTAAACATGTTCAATTTGAGTGTTCTTCGTAAATAATTTAGAAATGTGGACTGAGCAACATATTATTATTTCCCATCACATGGTTTGAGAGTCATAAGC